GGGAAAACATACTCCGAAAATAAACATCTTGTAAACTCAAGATATGAGTTGTTAAAAAATAAGACACCATATATTCAAGGTGATATTTCGACTGTATTTCAAAGTCATTGTCAAACATAACTATTTACAAGCATGCTACGATCTTTATACAAAAGAACAAAAGAATCGCAAAAAGTGTAAGCGGGCATTATATGAGTTTCGTGACGCTATAGCAATTCAAAGCGATCTTGAAAAAAATTTCCTAAAAATTATAAAATTATATGTGGGGAAAAAACCTAGAAAACTCAGAATTAATGATAATTCTGAGTTTTCTAGGTTTTTTCCCCACATATAGTAACAAAAAGTGGAATCGTTGTCCAATCGGTTACTTTTGGAGGGAATAAGACGCGCTTCTGGCAATTATTTACATAATATCAACGGAGGTAATTGCTGCAAACCCAACAATTATCCTGACAAATATCGATCGTGTTATGATGAAGATGTCAGTGACTCCTTTGGAAAAAAAGGATGGTCAAACTGTTCAAAAGCTTTGCATTACATTACTGGTCTCTATCGAGGAATTGGCATTAAGCTGGGCGATATAGACAAATTTCGATGCTGTGAAATGATCGAGTAATCAAGGATCCTATTAGCAGAATATTGTCCCCTGCTATATAGAGGTGTTTATTCGTCACATTAACATTACGAATGTATACAAAAAAAATAGCAGAATATATAGATCTTAACGCTTTTAGATTGGGATATCACAGCACAGTTTATATATACATGCATTATGGAATATAAAAAGCCTATGGAATATATTATATGGAAATATGGAATACATGTTTTCAAGCGCTCTCAAAAGAAACAAGTTGCTGCATTATTCATCTACCTGGGACTGGTTGTATATATTTAAAAGCCGGTTAGCTTAACAATGCAGGATTAAAGCAAATCTTGACATTAATTTTTTTAACCTCTTTTTGATAGTCATTTTTTCATGAATTTTTTAGGACCGATAGAAGTTATATTTTCTAAACGCTTTACAACGCACAGTTGTTCAAAAGCACATGCATAAACCAATAAAAACTCTTGAATATAATTTAACCCATAGAGTTAGCTCTAACCTATAGCTTTGAACAACCGACCCCAGTATAATGATAGATTCACTTGAAGATGCCGCTTCTTTTATTATTGCATTTTCATGTTCTATATGCTTGGAGACGATGTCTTGTGGCGTTCATGTTACATGTCTTGTAAGCGACGCGCGTATGCAGGTCACTTCACGTCCGCATATATTATTAGGGACCTCAAGGCGATTCTCCATTACGTCCGCTCCGCCCACATGGGCGAAGCGCACTTTGTTTTTCAGATCTGTCACGGTCGCATGGCCAGAATTTCAAAGGCCGCTTTGCCCGCGCGGGTGAAGCGAACGGTAATGGAGAATTGCCTTTAAGCATATTGGACGGCAACACGATGACGACGCGGCTGAAATTCTCCTTTAAATAAATGCTGTGGCAAAGTGGTTGTTTCATATTATTAATTGTACCAATTTAGTGAGATATAAGGCGTTAAAAACATTGTGTTTATGTTTAAGGACAATTCTATAGAGCCTAATTCGAGGTAGGGCTCGCTGGGTCCTGAAATGCAACCGTTCTAGGCAAGACGTGAAAAACGACGTTTTCTCGTTGTAAACAGAACGAAGACGACGTCTAAAACCCAGCATGGGTCTTTAATTATTCATTTCTTTTCAATAACCCATTGTATTGATAGCCGTCGTCGTCGCGTTCGCGTCCTGCATGCTTAAGGTCCTTATTATGTCCTAATAGACGTCGAATGGACCAGCTGAAAATGTCCGAGCAAGACAACTTTCTAGAAATCTAACCATGCATTAATTCTGATTTTATCAAAAACTCGCGAAAAATAGAGAGTATATATATATAGCTATAGTTAAACAAGTATAGAGCAAGACTTGCTTGCAATAAAATATTTACGAATTTTTATATGCTTAACGCGGAAAAGCTTTTTAACTTGTGTCCCGCTAGCATTGAGTGCACACAACTTTCACTCTGTCAATCAGTATAAATGCTTATAATGTGTTTCACTTGTTAAATTATAAATCGCATATATTAATGACATATAGTTGAAAGTGCATTTAAAACCCTGCCGGACTTAATTGTTGTCAGTTTTGTCGCAATGTCGAGAAGTTTCATTATCGTGTAGAATTATTTAATGCCATTATATATGGTTAAAAATGGCTTCAAGGGTGGCAAAAATTTTGACCCTATTTCTGGCTTTGAAAATGTCACAACCGGGTGATTCCTCAATAAACGAATTGATGTTTCGTAAAATCGCCAAGCGATACTTGGCAAATCATGTCATTGATACAAAACTGGCGGGAAGCGAGCTCGAATGTGGTGTGTATTGCGTCAGGGATGGTTCATGCACATCTGCAAATTACAAAACGTCTGGAACAGGAAAAGGTCGATGTGAACTCAACGATAAAACACTAGAAGAGACTTCTGAAAATGATAAAAAAACAAATCCTGAATTCAATCATCTTTATCTCGTCAAGCCAATGGGTAAGTTCTAGATTATGACGTCCCAGGTAAATAATCATTCTAAATGAACAATAAGAAAACATGCACCCTTGTTTATAAAGAGTCATGTTATGTTTCTGCGTGAATAAACGTTTTGCAGTTAACTTGGGTGTATTATATAATTATATAAAAAACTATCGGGCAAGATCATAATTAAAGCTTAAACAATTAAAATACTATATATATATAGCTCGTATTTTTTATTGTATATCGCGGTAAGAACGAAAATGAAGGATAGACATGGTCCGCCAAGTATTGCCACTGTTTCTACATTAATATTTTCGATTAATCATTATTTATTTCGGGTGTTATCGAATTATTTAAAGTACTGTTTAATTTATCTTTCTTCGTCTTAGTGAAAAAAATAAACCACCCACACTAACGCGTGTGACATATAAATTTTGTTAATGCTGGTCAATGAGAATTCTTTCTGAATAGGTGGAAAAATTCAGGTGAAACACTGAAAATCATGCCCCTATTCGTCTGGAAATACCACCATGGAAACGTTATGATATATAAGATTATATAAGATCTCCGGCACCCAACGAGTTTGAGTGTGAGTGAGCTTTTAGAATACAGGCGTACATCTTAGTCTAAATGCATGAAATCGCGTTCGATTATTAGCTTGCGCAATAAAACTAATAAATGTGCACGTAATAATAGCATGCAGATAGGTTGTCCTGTTTAAGATGCAATGCTTTTAAAAATGCGCGTGACCTTATCAATGTTTTAAACCTTTTCAGGATTACATCAATTTTGCTCGGATGCAAAATGGTGGAGCAGCTTCGACAAGGCGGGCCTGTCAAAGTGTAGCGAAGAAAATCATTTCATCACAGGGCTCTATCGAAGTGCTCCCACTGCTTCAGACCCACTCTCCTTACTTGAATCCGCAAAGTGTTGCGTTTCGACTCCAGCGTTCGCCGCTCAGGGTGCCGTGTGTAAGACAGCAGATTGGTCGCGCTCTTTCGATAAGTATGTATATTTTTAATTACGTTTAGAATTATAACTAGAAGAATAACATGTATATTATAACGCGTGTCCTAATTGGTCGAAGTCTGTATTTGGATCAGGCTATCCAAACACGGACATTTAACTCACTTTTGGAAATCAAACTTTGGACAACTACATGGTTGTTGTTATTTTATAAAACATTTACTTAATTGTCTCCCGTGCATGTTTGGATGACCTGATCCAGATGATGATGAAATGGCTTTGAAATAAAGTCGAAAATTTCCAGTTTCAACCTATGTCTTGTTTGACTGAAATATTATATAATTTTTAAGATGTCTTGTCTCTTGGGAACCTGTTTTTTACATTGTAACGATTAATGTTTTGTCTAGGGACAACGTATGGAACGTGTGCCCCGTCGGTTACTTTTTAAACGGATTAGGACGCAGTGATGCTGAGGATTATTTATATAATCTCGAAAGCGGTAATTGCTGCAAACCGAACAATCATCCTGACCACTACGGACCATGCTATGATGAAGATGTTGGAACGTCGTTTGACAAAAAAGGTTGGTCAATCTGTTCCAAAGCTGGATTTTATATCGTTGGGCTGTATCGCGGTTCCGGAGGCAATGGGCTGAACAATATCGCAAAATTTCGATGTTGTAAAATGATTAAATAATCATGAACCTGTTAATATTATATATAAAATTGGAATACAAACGGGCTACATTTAACCACAACCCATGCAAACGAACATTGATAGATGCTAAGTAGGTTGGATATGTGTAGATTATAATCACAATCATAGATTTAAAAAGATGAAACTACTAAGATGAGCGCTAGGAACCCTAGGAACCTGCTGAAAGATATTGTGTTAAAGCTTATTCCAGACACGCATTTAAATTTTTGGTTACATGAAGTCTTTTCAGGCTCGAAACTTTACGTTGGAAACATATCAAATATACTATAGATTAATTGAGCACAATCTATAACTAGCTACGCAGCCCGAGGATTAGTCCCGCTATGCTAATATTTTTATGTTCATTGACCATGAAAACAGTATATTTGTAAAGACATGAATATTTATAATAACTCGAAATTTTCATAGCGGGACAAAATCGTCAGGCTCACTACGCCAATGAGCGCATTTTCCTAGAGAGTATAATTATATATAGCTAGTGTAAGTCAGGCACATTTAGTTTTGCTGTTTGTATATATACAAATGTATAATATGTCTTATTGCATTAATGAAGGAAAGCTCCTTTACTTGTGGCCAGCTTGAAACGATATGGCCCGTCTACAAATAACTATATGCATATACTGTCAGTTCAAATATAAATTGCATTTGCACTTTACTCGCATTGGCAAAGATGTAGTTAAGATCAAGCGGAAATTGTTCGCGCTCAGTTTTTAAAAATAAGGATTGGTCGTAAAGCTATATATATTAAGGAGAATCCATCTCAATAATTAAAGAATGAGAGCGAACCCAGAAAGTATTTTGCTTTTATTTCTGGTTTTAAAAATCTCACACCCGGGCGATTGCTCGATTAACGAGTTACTGTTTCGCAAAGTCGCTAAGCGATACTTGGCAAATCATGTCATTGATACAAAATTAGCGGGAAGCGAACACGAATGTGGTTTGTATTGCGTCAGGGATGGTTCATGCACATCTGCAAATTACAAAACGTCTGGAACTGGTAAAGGTCGATGTGAACTCAACGATAAGACGCTTCAAGAGACTTCTGAAAATGATAAAAAAACAAATCCTGAATTCAACCATCTTTATCTCGTCATGCCAAGAATGGGTAAGTTAAAAATTTCAAAACAAAAAAAAATACCGTGCATAATAATATATCATGAAATTGTCATGTGAGATATAAAAAAAATCCTATGCTGTGCTAGGCAATACATGAAAAGAGCGAAGGGCGAAAATTATGGGCCGTTTTTGTGTAGAGCTTTGAAAAAAATTATCGTCCAATTTTTACTTTTTGGCATTAAATATTTCCATTGGTTTTAAGTGTCCAAAATACTTCTTAAAAAAATTGTTTCAAAAAAAAAGTCAATCAAGTTATAAACTATATAACTATAATTGTTTGGAAGAATAACATGTGTGTGTGAATATTCTTTCTTGCCTTTTAAACAATATAAACCATGTAGTTAGTACATTTAGGCCTAGGTTTTAAAACGTCTCATTTTGGTCGCGTCGAATTCAAACAATAGATAATAAGATGAGAAACCTCATTAAGCTTCATTATCATCTTATTATCAATTTTTTGAATTGCATTTGACGTGACCAAAATATGACATTCAACCTAGGCCATATTTGGATGAGCTATTGAGCTATCTTACGGTCTGTACATATATGAAGACGATGTTTGCGTGCAATCCTGTCACACACATGCAATATACTTGGCGTCCGCTTAGTCCCAGTAGCATATATAGCCAGCCTGACGATATTTTGGTGTTAATTGACTGTGGAAACAATGAATTTCTAAAGAAATGAATAATTATAATAACACGAATTTTACATAGCGGAACAAAATCTTCAGGCTGGCTATGCCACTGCATGCTTAAGCCTGGTTTCTTTCCATTTAGTCGTAATTGTCGTGAACATGTCATTTTCGCCGATGAGAAATTGTCGGGATGTAAATTCGCTTTCATTCCTGTATTCAAATCTGTCATTGTTGACTGCACACGTATAGAAATATTCTATCACATCAGCCAGCTTGACATGTTCACGACACTCACGACTAAATGGAAACCAGGCATTAGTCTATATGCAATACTTTCAAAATGCCTATAAAAATCACCTTTTAGAGGTTCATCCAAGTGAACCAACATGCTGGAATGCGAACTGGTGGAGCAGTTTCGACAAGGCGGGCCTGTCAAAGTGTAGCGAGGAAAATCATTTTATCGCAGGGTTCTACCGAAATTCTCCCAATGTTGCCAATTCAGACCCAATCTACTTACTTGAATCCGCAAAGTGTTGTGTTCCAAATGAAGCGTTCAGCGCTCAGAGTAGCGTGTGTAAGACAGCAAGTTGGTGGACATCTTTCGATAGGTTTGTATCTTTGTATCTTTGAATAACATTTAAAAATAATGTCAGGTTCTTGAAAAGATATACAAGACAAAACGTTTCCACCAATCATGCTGCAAGGGGCCGGTTGTTCAAAAGGCGTTTAGCTTAAACGGTGGTTAAGCCAAAATACTTTCGTACCTCTTAAGAATGATTGAACCTGCATCTTATGCATTGCAAAATATGTACTTCCATTGAAAATTATTAAACTATTTACATCGAAATATTTCAGCTCGGTTGTTCCATGCATAAATAGATAATTTTGTTTTCCATTTTGAACTTATCCACCATTTAAGCTAAACGCCTTTCGAACAACCAGCCACTGGTATATAGTTTGTAAAAGAACCATTGCTTTAATATTTGCAAAGAAGGCAGCTTTGTGAGTTTTTTGTTTTAATTATAAACAATGCATTCTATCCAGTAACCTTGAAGATTATAAAAAAATCTATCAAAATAGGAAATAAGGTATATTCATAAATAAGTATGCTTGTTCACGCGTGAATCTGAGGGTGCCTTCATGCACACATGCCATTCTTTTCGATTAGTTCACTGACAGGCACGCCGGAACATCGATAATTGGGGGGGGGCATATATTCATATATTCGAGTTCTGCATTATTTGTTTCTTTTGAAATCAATTGTTTTTACGGTCTGTGAACTTGAATATATGAATATATGTCCCCCCAATTATCAATCTTCCGGCGTCCCTGTTCACTGATATTATTTCTATATTAAAAGCCGAGAGAACTAGGCACAAGTCTGAACGCAACCTAAGTTAGCTTTACTCTCAAACAAAAGCATGTATTTGCTGAGTTATTTGCCGGGTGAATAGAATAATGAGATAAAGTCAGCGGCGTAGCCAGCCTGACGATTTTGCCATGCTATGCAAATTTTATGTTAATAATACTGATAATGCAGATTTATCAACGGTATTTCTATAAGTTACCGTCCCATTAAACTGATTAAACTGGCCATGGGGAAACGGAGCAGCTGCCCCCCCCCCCAAAAAAAAAATTTTGAGAATCAAGAAATTCGGGCAACGTTCAGCCAAAAACTCAGCCAAACTACATGACCAGCACTTTTGAAACCGAATTTTTGTAATGTATATTAGTAATATTACAAATGTATATTCTGTTTGGTCACTTTTGTTACACTTTCCTGAAAGCACATTCGTCGTTTGCCACGGAATTTCTTTTCTTTTGCCGCGGAATCAGTTTTCTTTTCAATAAAATGAAGTTCAGCTATTTTGTTACAAATCTAGTAAAAGTTAAAATTAGGGCACATTGACGTGTAATAATTCAAAAATTCGGGTGATTTTTTTTACCCAGCACCCCCTCCCCATATGAAGTTGCACCCTGTCTTCTGAATTTATCAGCTTGGCGCATACTTTAAATCTCAAACTGTACATGTGAACATGTAGTGATTAGATTTTTGGGTCGAAACTTTATAAATTAAACACCAATTTCTGCGGTGTTGTATTTGGGCCGAAGTTTTGTATCACTATCTAATATTGGTTTTCAGCTTAATATATTTCGGCTATCTTTATACACATTTAGAAACGACAATTGGAACTTGTGCCCCGTCGGCTACTTTTTGAACGGATTAGGACGCAGTGTTGCTCATTATTTATATAACATCGAATATGGCCATTGCTGCAAACCCAACAATCATCCTGACCACTACGGACCATGCTATGATGAAGATGTTGGAACATCGTTCGACAAAAAAGGTTGGTCAATCTGTTCCAAAGCTGGATTTTACATCGTTGGGCTGTATCGTGGTTCCGGAGGCAATTGGCTGAACAATATCGAAAAATTTCGATGTTGTAAAATGATTGAATAATCATTGGCGTTAAAACCAGAGTAATATAGGTATTATTTGGAAATATATACCTATATCGCGACAGCTAGTCTATGAACATAGACAGATACTAAAATGTGGAATAATGTATTTTTAGTGAAATGTATATTACAAGTTTTCATGCATGTAAAGTTATTTTATTAAAGCACTAGAAAATGCCGTTCTGATGATCTTTGGTCTTTACGGAAACGTAGCTACCATACAATAGAATCTCCTTTCGTATTGGATTTCACTTAACTTTAGTTCACGTTTTGCTGTTTTTAAAAACCTCCTTCATTAATTAAAAGGGGATTAATTGTCGCGCGATTAATCAATACAATATACACTTAAGGTATGCTCCCAAGGGAAATAGTAAGTTTTGTTTTCCCAAGAGGCTGAATGTTTCCCAAGAGTCTGAGGCGAAGGAAACATTGAGACTCGAGGGAAAACAAAACTTACTATTTCCCGAGGTAGTGTACATTAAGTGTTTTGTTATATAAGAACGAAAACATACATGTTACACAACAATTTCATTTTAAAAAAATCCACTTTACTTTTTTATGACAAGAAAGGGTGTAAATGGGCCTTTAGTAAATATCTGAAGCCATTTCCAGCATGGTAACACAGTTTTAAAACATTTTCAAAAATCGTCAAATTTGGCCAGATGGTAACTGTACACCACTACCCTTTATATTTTCAATGTTCCAAAAACAAACGAAATCTGCTCAAAAACCAAAGAGATTAGTCTTAATAAATATTTGAAGCCATTTTCAGCATATATTAACAAAGAAAACAACGACTATGATAGTAATATTTGGTTAACTTTTATTCAGTAATCTGGCAACCCCAATATGCTGTTTTGTGCAGTTAAAAACAATAGAATGCACTCCGTTGCTCCCTGCAGCCAAACAGAAACAGGGGATTTGATGGCGTACGACGAAAGTTTGAAGCATGCTTCCTATTCTGACCATGCTCTCGAGTTTTGACGGGGCAGTATAATCTATATATTCTCTCTATTCGTATTAAGTACTGCGAAAAAAGTACTTAAATGTGGCATAACAACTGTGGTATAACTCTCCTGACAGACTAAGGCCCTCAGGTTGAGACGTCGAGAAGTGTTTTGTCTATTTCAGGCTATTTTTATACCATATTTGATGCTAAGATGCTTAAAATTACTTCAAATATTCACCAAAACTAATTTTTATATCTTATTTTATTTTACAATCTTTTTCAATTATGGTAAAACCCACAGAGCTCAGTGCTTCTTTACGGGTAACCTTGGTATACTGAAACAAAATTGATGAGTTACCCCAATATATATATATATCTTCGAAATCGAACGTTCGAACGAAATCTCTTTAGTTTTTGAGCATTACCATTTTGGTCAAAATTTTCAAAAACTGTCTAAAATGTTAAAAATGGATTCCTAAGACTACTATCTTTCATTTTAGAGCATATTTGGTTTGTTTTTGGAACATTGAAACCTTAGCTACCATTTTGCTCAATTTTGACTACTTTTCAATGTTCAAAAAACGAGCCAAATATGCTCTAAAATAAAATATATTAGTCTTAGTAAGCCATTTTTAACATTTTAAGACAGTTTTTGAACACTTCAAAAAGTCGTCAAAATTGACCAATTTGGTAAGGCTTACCGCTTACCATTTTGCTCAATTTTGACGAAATTTTAAATTGTTCAAAAACTGTCTTAAAATGCTAAAAATAGCTTACTAAGACTAATATTTTTTATTTAAGAGCATATTTGGTTTGTTTTTGGAACATTGAAAAATCGTCAAAATTGACCAAAATGGTAAGGCTTACCACTTACTATTTTGCTCAATTTTGACGAGCCTTTGAACTGTTCAAAAACGGTCTTAAAATGCTAAAAATGGCTTCCTACTACTAATATCTTTCATTTTAAAGCATATTTGGTTGGTTTTTAGAACATCGAAAAAGTCATCAATTTCGACTAAAATGGTAAGGCGTATCAAAATTCGGACTATTTTTCAAAATTTTCTAAAACTGTGTTAACATGCCAAAAATAGCTTACTAAGACTAATCGCTTTGGTTTTAGAGCATATTCGGTTGGTTTTTGGAATATTGAAAAAAACGTCAAAATTGACCAAAACGGTATAAGGCTTACCCCTTACCATTTTGGTCAATTTTGATGACTTTTTGAACCATTCAAAAACTGTCTTAAAATGTTAAAAATGGCTTCCTACCAGTAATATCTTTCATTTTAGAGCATATTTGGTTGGTTTTTGGAACATTGAAAAAGTCGTCAATTTCGACTAAAATGGCTTATCAAAATTTGGACTATTTTTCAAAATTTTCTAAAACTGTGTTAACATGCCAAAAATAGCTCACTAAGATTAATCTCTTTGGTTTTAGAGCATATTCTGTCGACTTTTGGAGCATCGAAAAAGTCGTCAAAATTGATTAAAATGGTAAAGCTTATCAAAGTTGACTTTTTTTCAAAATTTTCGAAAACTGTGTTAACATGCCAAAAATGGCTTACTAAGACTAATCGCTTTGGTTTTAGAGCATATTTTGTTGGTTTTGGAATATTGAAAAAATCGTCAAAATTGAGCAAAATGGTAAGGCTTACCCCTTACCATTTTTGTCAATTTTGACGATGTTTCAATGTTTCAAAAACAAACCAAGTATGCTCTAAAATAAAAGATATTAGTCTTAGTAAGCCATTTTTAACATTTTAAAACCATTTTTGAACATTTAAAAAAGTCGTCAATTTTGAGCAAAATGGTAAGGCTTACCCCTTACCATTTTGGTCAATTTTGATGACTTTTTGAACCGTTCAAAAACTGTCATAAATGTTAAAAATGGCTTCCTACCAATATTATCTTTCATTTTAGAGCATATTTGGTTGGTTTTTGGAACATTGAAAAAGTCGTCAATTTTCACAAAATGGTGGCTTACCCTTACCATTTTGGTCAATTTTGACGACATTTTGAATTGTTCAAAAACTGTCTTAAAATGCTAAAAATCGCTTACTAAGACTAATATCTTTTTATTTTAGATGATATTTGGTTGGTTTTTGGAACATTGAAAGAGTCGTCAATTTTGCCTTCAAGTATTAAAATGTATTGTTTTATGGTTAGTAGCAACAGAAGATGCGGTGGCGTAGTCGTTAAGGCTACCGTCATAGGGAGCGCAGGATCAAATCCTGCAAGGGCGAAGTGAAATTTTTCCCATCTTAATTGCTATTTAATTTAAAATTCTGTGAATAGGATTAGGTCGAATAAAGAACAAGTGCTTTTAACAAATGGCTCTGTGGCCCAGTGGGTTAAGGCTACGGCCTACCAGGTTGCATGTCTAGGTTCGAATCCTGCATGGGAAAGTTCGATTTTTCCACGGAAATTATTCTTTAATTTAAACTTCATCGAAAAGGATTAGGTCAAATAAAGAACAATAGCTTTCGACAAATGATGCGGTGGCCTAGTGGTTAAGACGTTCGTTTCTAAACCCGAGGACAGACGTATCAACTCCGGGCAATGCAAAAAATTCGCCTGAAAAATTTCGGTGTGATTTGGAAGCTTCAAAGCCATTAAAAGATTCCTCGGCCTTTGGGAAAGACCGTAAATTGAAAAAAAATTGAAATAAAAAAACTGAAAAAAATTTCTCACGCTTAAAAGTGCCTAAAAATTGAAAAAAGCACAAGTAAAAAAACTTTAAAATCATGTGTCTTCTAAAACACTGAAAATTAAAAAAGTCAGAAACAAAACTGTAAATTTAAAAATTTCCCGCTTTTAAAAAATTCATGTTTACTTACCTTAATTTTTTTTACGAAAATTTGACAGGGTGATTTTCTCGAGAGTGAAAAAATTTACTTTTTTTCACTTTTTTGAAATTCTCTAAGATTTTTTTTACGACGAAGTATTTTGTCTTGGGCTACCTGTATCTGTCTTGGGCTACCTGTGTCTGGCTTGACACAGTAGCCCAAGACAAAATACTTCTTCCTCAAAAAGATTTTTCACTTTTTTGAAATTCTCCGAGATATTTTTATATGAAGAAGTACCATGTCTTGGTAACCTGTGTCAAGCCGGACACAGTAGCCCAAGACAGACACAGGTAGCCCAAGACAAAATACTTCGTCGTAAAAAAAATCTTAGAGAATTTCAAAAAAGTGAAAAAATGTAAATTTTTTCAGTCTCGAGAAAATCACCCTGTCAAATTTTCGTGAAAAAAAATTAAGGTAACTAAACATAAGTTTGTTAAAAGCGGGAAATTTTTAAATTTATAGTTTTGTGTCTAACTTTCTTAATTTTCAGTGTTTTTAGAAGACACATGATTTTAAACACTTTTTTTACTTGTGCTTTCTTTCAATTTTTAGGTAGTTTTGAACGCGAGAAATTTTTTAAAGTTTTTTTATTTCAATTTTTTCAATTTACAGTCTTTCCGAAAGGCCGAGGAGTCTTTTAGTAGTTTTAAAGGCTTCCAAATCACACCGAAATTTTTAAGGCGAAGTTTCTTGCATTGCCCGGAGTTGATACGTCTGTCCTCGGATTGAGAAACGAACGTCTTAACCACTAGGCCACCGCATCATTTGTCGAAAGCTATTGTTCTTTATTTGACCTAATCCTTTTCGATGAAGTTTAAATTAAAGAATAATTTCCGTGGAAAAATCGAACTTTCCCATGCAGGATTCGAACCTAGACATGCAACCTAGTAGGCCGTAGCCTTAACCCACTGGGCCACCTCATCATTAATCAAAAGCTCTTGTTCTTTATTCGACTTAATCCTATTCGCAGAATTTTAAATTAAATAGCAAATTAGGTGGGAAAAATTGCACATCTCCCTGGCAGAATTCGAACCTACGCTCACAACCTGGTAGGGCGGTAGCCTTAACCACTAGGCCACCGCATCCGTGTTGGTACTTACCGTAAAATAATACATTTTAATACTTGAAGACAAAATTGACGACTTTTTCAATGTTCCAAAAAGCAACCAAATATGCTCTAAAATGAAGATATTACTCTTATGAAGCAATTTTTAGCATTTTAAGACACTTTTTGAATCATTGAAAAAGTCGTCAAAATTGACCAAAATGGTAAGGCTTACCCCTTACCATTTTGGTCAATTTTGACGACTTTTTCAATAATCCAAAAACCAACCAAATATGCTCTAAAATGAAAGATATTAGTCTTAGTAAGCCATTTCTAGCATTTTAAGACACTTTTTGAACAATTGAAAAAGTCGTCAAAATTGACCAAAATGGTAAGGGATAAGCCTTACCATTTTGGTCAATTTTGACAACTTTTTCAATGTTCCAAAAACCAAGCAAATATGCTTTAAAATGAAAGATATTAGTCTTAGGAAGCCATTTTTAGCATTTTAAGATAGTTTTTGAACAGTTCAAAAAGTCGTCAAAATTGACAAAAATGGTAAGGGGTAAGCGTTACCATTTTGGTGAAAATTGACGACTTTTTAATGTTCCAAAAAGCAACCAAATATGCTTTAAAATGAAAGATATTAGTCTTAGGATGCCATTTTTAGCAATTTAAAACAGTTTTGGACAGTTCAAAAAGTCGTCAAAATTGACCAAAATGGTCAGGCTTACCCCTTACCATTTTAGTCAATTTTCACGACTTTTTGAACTGTTCAAGAACTGTCTTAAAATGTTAAAAATGGCTCGGTACTCACTGCATTTACTACCAGCTAAAATAGGTTGATTTAGTTATGAAATGAGGTGAATGAGGGACGTTTGAAATTTTATTAACTTCTTGCAATTGTGCACATAATTCACAAATGACCGCGTGCACACATCACAAGCGTAGATAATTAATAATAGTATACCTGCATGCATGACGCATTTCTGCAAAGATCTAATTAGCATGATCGAAGAAAGGTTTTCCAAGGATTTGAACCATATATATGTATCTTGGGTTGCGAAGCCATTAGCTTCACCACAAGACCATCAAGGCTGCATGATATCGATGTTAAAGGCTACAGTTATTTATTTTTTATTTCACCTTAATCCTTTTTCAATGTCAATAATGAAAACATTCTTGCCCGTATTCGAAGTTTTTAACATCGAAATATTTCGGCTTAGTAGTACAGTAAATGGATAATTTTGCTCTCCATTTTGAACTTATCCCGCTTTTAAAGCTAAACGCCTTTCCAACAACCATCCCTGTGGGAAGGTTGCAACCACCATCTCCACCGGATCACAGATTTGTATGCAAATTGCCTGAGGCCAGTTGTATAAAACTCTTAACTACATTTTGCGTAGTTAAATCGTAGTTAACTCAGAAATACAGGACTCTAATTGGTCAATTCTGTTACTAACTATAGTTAAAAGTTAACGACGTTTTTATACAACCGGCCCCTGTAGTTTGGGTTTTATGCGTTGTTTCTGTAGTTTAATTCTTTTTTAAGCATTTTAAACAAGTAATGTAAAAATTACTATTTAGTTGACACATCACTAGCGTTTGTTTTTTTAATAGGTCTGCAGCGTTAAAACCTCTACAGAAGAGGAACTTGTAAAATCGTTTGAACATTCATTTGACAGCATTATAATCCTTCTCAATAAATTAATTCATTCAAACTTTAACTGCACTATAAACTGTGAGTTGAACCTTCAAACGTCTGCGAAAACCGGGATAAGTCTGAAGTATTCGGCTACTGTGCCGCAACACAGAGTCCAAGACAGATGTATTTTTTTACCTTAAGGTGGCTCCCTAGGGTTTTGAGAATTTTTTAAGTGTAGGTTTGATGATGCAGAATTAAGCACCAACATTGTAAACTATAGATTGAAATTAGCTTTAACGTATTGAGTACCATGTTCGAAATAAGAAAATATTGATTGACCAATTATAGAAGCTGTTTCCATGGGAACAATGACGTTTCAATATGGCCACCAATTTTCATTAAATTACGATTATTTCACAAACCCTTCGGTGAAATGTCTTCTTTTTCCACTGAACATTTTTCCAGATGGTTAGTAATGGACCACTTGCATAATAGACCAACTTTTGATTCAGGTGACAAAAAGGGAATTTCCTAAAAGAGCATACAAAACTTAGTAAAATTGCCAAGTTTTGCTGTGAAATATTGTAAAGTGCCCCAGATATAGCCATGCGAAGTTGGCGAATTTTGTATACTTTTGTATTACGGCCGGACGCGTGTAACTAAATTAGTTACACGCTTCCAGCCGTAATAAAAAAGTATACAAAATTGGCAACTTCGCATGGCTATATCTTCCGTACTACTTTACATTTTGCAACCAAACTTGGCAATTTTACTAATTTTGGTATGTTCTTTTTAGCTGTTGTGATATATTTCCTGCTTGTCACCTAGATCTGAAGTTGGTCTATTATGCAAGTGGTCCATTGACAGGACAATTTTAAGAAAAAAGTTATCGATACAAAAAAAATTAAATGGGGAAAATATGGTTTTACGCAATTAAAAAAAATCCTATCGATAACTTTCTTTTAAAATTGTCTGGTCGTTTACTATATGACCTGCAAAGCATTTGGTGAAAAATAAAAAAAATTCACCGAAGGATTCACGAAATAATTGCAATTGAATTATAATTAGCAGCCATGTTGAAACCTCATTGTTTCCATAGCAACGGCCTTCATAGTTAATCCGTCAACGGTTTCTCATCTCTAACGTACTCCACAATATAATCAAAAGTATTATTGATCTTTAGTCTGCAATATTAGGGCTTAATTCGCCACAACAAACCTACTATCTAGAATTTTTACAAAATTCTAGGGAGCCACCTTAAATTAAAAATTTAAGAGAATTTCAAAAAAGTGAAAAAATGTATTTTTTTTCACTCTCGTCGAGAAAATCACCATGCCAAATTTTTGTCAAATTTTGTCAAATGAGTAAATGTAAGTAAACATTTATTTGACTAAATCCTTTTCGAGGAATTTTAAATAAAATGGTAATTTTGGTAGCCGGAAAAATTGAACCTTTTCAAACCAGGATACGAACCTACGCTTACAAACTGGTAGGTCGTAGCCTTAAGTGCTTAAACCACTAGGCCACCGGGCCATGTGTCGATACCAACCTTATATAAGTATAGAAAATCCCACAGCGCCCCGTTTAGAAGAAGACAGAGACTAAAAAACGCAGTGTGTATGACTTCAAGAGTCACAGGTTCAGTATAAGTTTTATACGATGCTCAATGCGGTGATTGTGGGATAATTACACGTTCACTGCAAGCAACGAAGGGTTTTTAATACTTAATTACGCAGATTTGATGACTTTTTCAATGTTCCAAAAACAAACCGAATATGCTCAAAAACCAGAGTTCAATCTTAGGAAGCCATTTTTGGAATGTTAACAAAATTTTAGAAAGTTTTGGAAAGTCGTCAATTTTGGCAAAATTGGTAAGGCTAAATGGGTTATTTTCCTGCAAATTTAGGAAGAATAAATGATGATAAATTAGTGTCCGGGAAATATTTTTCAAAATATTTTTTCTTTCACAATTAGAAATGTATATAACCACATTCTGCAGAAAACTTTGCACGAAAAAAGTGGGTTTGGGACAATTTAATTATGGCTGCTGCCACTGGCCTAAATATTGATCCAGCCTTATACCCTCTTCTATGCGCGCAGTTTTCATTTGATAGTCATTCCAGTAGCTTTTAATACAACAGTTAATCTTTCATTGCACGGTTTATGACTCAAATAACTTATACTAACAAATGTATTACAACAACTTTCAATTACGGTCGACTGGTGTCAATCTCCAAAAATTAATCAATACCAAAGCGATTTGAAGATCTTTCTGCTTCTGATTTTTCGAATTTAACTCTGAGTTGTACTGTAGTAACGTTGTGCGATGTTAGGCGAACCAGGAGGATCTTCGCCATAGAGCATTCTTCTAATTTTTGAAGCTTTTTGATGCGATTCCAATGCTGACTGAAATTCTTTCATCTCGTGTTGTATCATCCCAATGTTATAATAACTGTCAGCTGTTGAAGGATCATTTTCTCCGTATAGTTTGAGTCTAATTTTGAGAGCATTTTGATGCGACTCCAATGCTGATTTGTAAGCTCTCATATCATGTTGAATGTATCCAATGTTAAAATAACTCTTAGCGGAGTCAGGATGATCATCTCCAAACAATTTTAATACGATTCTGAGAGATTTTATATTCGACTCTAATGCTGAATTGTAGTCTTTCAACGCGTGTTGTGAAACTCCAATGTTGTAATAACTGTCTGCAGTGGAAGGATGATCTTCTCCAAAAAGTTTTGATCTGATTTCAAAAGCTTTTTTATTCGACTCTAAAGCTGACTTTGAATCTTTCATATCATTTTGAGTGTATCCGATGTTGAAATAACTTTGAGCTGTTTCAGAATGATTTTCTCCATATACTTTCAATCTGATGTTAAGAGCCTTTTCATTCGATTCTAATGCTGATTTGTAATCTTTCATCTCATTCTGTGCGATTCCAATGTTGTAATAACTGTCCGCTGTGTCAGGATGATTCTCTCCATATAGACTTAATCTGATTTCGAGAGCTTTTCTATTCGATTCTAATGCCGATTTGTAATCCTTCATCGCATGATACGTGATCGCATTGTTGCAATAACTGTCAGCTATTGTAGGATGATCTTCGCCATAAAGTTCTAACCTGATTTTAAGAGCTTTTTGATTCGACTTTAACGCTGAATTGTAATCTTTCATCTCATGTTGTGTGATTCCAATATTGTGATAACAGTCTGCAGTCAAAGGATGATTTTCTCCAAACAGCTTTATTGTAATTTCAAGGCCCTTTTGATGCGATTTTATCGCTGATTTGTAATCTTTTACCTCATGTTGTGCGATTCCAATGTTGCAATAACTGTCAGCTGTTGCAGGATGATCTTTTCCGTGCAACTTTAATCGAATGTCAAGAGCTTTTTGATGTGATTCCAACGCTGACTTGTAATCTTTCATCTCATGTTGTGTGATTCCGATGTTGTAATAACTGTTAGCCACGTCTGGATGATCTTCTCCGTATAGTTTTAACCTAATTTCAAGGACTTTTTGATTACACTTTAATGCGGACTTATAATCCTTCATGTCATGTTGAATGTATCCAATATTAAAATAACATTGAGCGGAGTCGGGATGATTTTCTCCATACAGTTTTAATCGGATATCAAGAGCTTTTTGATTCGATTCTAATGCTGACTTGTAATCTTTCATCTCATGTTGTGTGATTCCAATGTTGTAATAAGTGTCAGCTGTGGCAGGATGATCTTCTCCGTATAGTTTTAACTTCACTCCAAGAGCTTTTTGATAGGACTCTAAAACTGACTTGTAGTCCTTCACTTCATGCGTTTTCGCTCCAAGGTCGTTGCGTGTTTCAATCACGTCGATATTATCTGCTTTCTTCTAAGAATGACAGTTAAATATACGAAATTATCTTGAGGGTAAGAAATATATTGATTTAGCTTAACAAGGTCTGTAGTGGAATCCTTCCTAAGCTCAGGAACTTGAGTAAAATGCCTTCCTGTTTTTTCAGTTTTTCAAATACTCAGTGAGCCTCGCTTTTTCCACTCTTGAGCCACAAGAAGTAACAATTGACAATCGATCATATTTAATTACCTGAACACGTTTCAATTTATCACTCGCAACAGCAATAAGTTCACAGTTATTGACCTTGTCTCCAAGATCCTTGTTGATATGAGACCTGTGTTGGACAAAAAAATTGACGTTATCCAATACACATGGTTGTTGTTAAATGCATGTGGTAAAGATTTACTCAATGAGCTGGAGAAAAAGTCAAAAAAATAATTATAATAAGTCGTGTTAAAACTGTCACCTTACATGTATTACTGAAATAGATATAACAAAGTTAAAAAGCTGCTAATACCAAAGTTAAAGAAGACAAAGAGTGAACAATTCAAGATTTTTAAACCTCGTAAATGCACGAAGGAAAAGAGCCTTACTTAACAGTCTCTTGTTCTTCCTATGAAAAGTTGGAATAGCTAACGTATAGCGTTACGCCATTATAACTTGATCCTGGTCAGTGAAACCATTCTCAGAATACTTATGTAACGTTGATTTTGATTTATTATATTGCAAAGGAACGCGCATTAACTATTAACTTGTAACTATTCACCTATCGTAAGATGGAGCCTTATCATGTACCTTGTTCTAATCGCTTCTTTCGTTTCATTCACCTCCTCCATGTTTTCAATCTTCACCTTCAGTCCTTCTACTTTGATTCCAACCAGCGAAAGTTCTTCCTGAAAGCGTTCTTTCATTTTCCCTGATTCGTAATCCGCTAAGACTTCCAGAAACCTTTCGTCTGTGAAACAATGTAACTCAACATGCAAACATCCTGGTCGAATGTCACGAGGGTCCTGATCATCGCGTTTGCCTCCCAGAGCTTTTGCAACCGCACCCTCAATTACTGGTTTCAATAAACTATAACCAGCATACAGAGCGCCAAGACCCAAACCAAGTTTAGTTACAGTTTTACACACTTCTTTTGCTACTTCTACGTTATCTGTGCTAATGGCTATCACGAATTTCCCACCAGTAAATGAAGCACTTGCTCGTAGAGCATCTCCGGAAAACACATCCACCATTTAGGGAATGTTTGTTCCAGACCTGGAACTAAAACAGAAATAATATTATAAAATAACATGTATATAACGCGTGTTCTGATTGGTTGAAGCCCGTGTTTGGATCAGGCCATCCAAACACGGAAATTTCGCGGGAATTTAAAAGCAAATTTATTATGGCGCGCTTTTCTTAACTCTCGCAACATTCCCGCGTGTTTGGATCAGGCCATCCAAACACGGAAACCATTAAGTAATTGTATATTACAAAGAGGTGATGAGCAAATAATAATCTACAAATGAACAGGCCTTGGTGGCAAAAAACAGTTTCACGCTAGCAGTGTTTCCGAGATCTACATGTAGTTTCCCTGTGAACAAAGCTTTAGTAAATTTAGACGACAGAATTAACATCCAATTGCACTAAGACTAAGTTAATTTAACCAATGAAGAACGATTTTTATTTCATCAGTATAAATCTCTATACAGTATACACATATCATAAACTGGAATATGGTATTCCACCATGGTCGTATATACCGGAATACGGAATCATTCGACCTCGGGTCATTCGATGGACCTTGATAGGGTCGAATCTGGTCGAACACTCGACATTGGTATGTTTGAGTATACCGGAATATATATATATATATATATATATATATATATATATATATATATATATTATTCATTCGATCGAACTTGGTTGGGTCAAATATGCCGGAATATGGTATATCGGACCTTGTGAAAATTTCCCCTGTTTTGGCAAACATGCCTTTCATACCAAAAACTTGATGTGCCCTTATTTGAGTATCTAATTAAATAACACGTGCAAACAAAACAAAAATATTCCGATCGAGGGCGGTGTTTAAAAATGCAATGAGTACTGTTTTGGTATTTGTAATTATCGTATCGTATCGAGAAAAGGCATTTTATTTATTCACTGAAAGAGTTTGCAATCCTTGCTGTTCATTTCCTATCGGCTGTGAGGTCAAGTTAATGCAGATTTTGACTTCAGACTTACTTAACCACAATGTTGACGTTGTCAACACTGAATCATTGTACGATATATAACTTCGGTCATCCCGGTACAAAATTTTAGCGCTCGCCTTCAAAAATTCCGAGCGGTTGTGAAAATATTTGACATTTGCAAAAGCAGTCGCGTCATATTTAAACGTGAAACAAATTTTCGTCTAGAAAACATTCTGGATTTCCACTTTTCTATGCAATAGCACACTTATTATAAATATGAGAGCCCAACATATAACATTTAAGAAAGCCATCAAAACAATTTAAAGTTTAAAAGTAAATATATTTGTAACGTTTCGTCTTTAACCTAAGACATCTTCAGACAAGTGATATAAAATTACATGAGATTTGAGTATATATAATCTATTTACATATGTAAATTAATGACGGATAGGAAGGTATAAGATAGTACATGACAAAACCGCACAGACGAAGGGACATAAACACAATACAAAAACTATGAAAACACGTTACAGAAGATTAAGTGGGATTGAACTGCCCTGGATGTTAAGTGAGGGTTTGAGTTTGGAGATGAGGAGGCTTTCATGAATCATGAGTTCATGTTTGTCAGAACATGAAGAAAGAATTTTAAAATCATCAAAGCCCGGCACAGTTCCCTGCAGTGGTTATGTGGGGGAAGATGCTGGACAAAACTGGACTAGATGACGGTTTTCCAGTTATAGGGGAAATTCCCAAGTGTTCCGATACTCTGGTGTGTAGATGGCGTGTGACTCAAACCCTCACTTAACATCTAGGGCAGTTCAATCCCACTTAATCTTTTGTAACGTGTTTTCATAGTTTTTGTATTGTGTTTATGTCCCTTCGTCTGTGTGGTTTTGTCAGGTACTATCTTATACCTTCCTATCCGTCATTAATTTACATATGTAAATAGATTATATATATATATTCAAATCTCATGTAATTTTATATCACTTGTCTAAAGATGTCTTAGGTTAAAGACGAAACGTTACAAATATATTTACTTTTAAACTTTAAATTGTTTTGATGGCTTTCTTAAATGTTATATGTTGGGCTCTCATATTTATAATAACAATAGCACACTGTAATACTGCTACAGGAATTTTGACACACTTAAATGGTTCGTTTTCATTGACTTGAGATAGCGTTTTACACGCTTAAAATTCTAGTAACTCTTACTGATATTAAAACCATGCATAGAAAGTAAACGACGATACAATAATCACAATAGTATAATTAAAGTTCAATTATGTTACAAATCGGAAACAAGAGCGCTTTGTCGATAATGTCAACATTTCCGGTAGTTGTCGTATAACTTGTAGCCATATATGTTGTAGCTACAGGATTCCTCGCTTATAATTTGAGTTTCTACAAACTAGTCGATTCTAAGATCCTAATGAAAAACTGGATTATCGCAAGCTCCTATAGCTGCGTCGGTGAGTCATTGACATTGACATCTGAGAATATCAGCATGAGATTATCATTCATCACGTTAATCTTAAAAAACACTTTGAAAACTAAATGCTGTTTACCTTTGGTTCGACTTTCTCGTGACAACCGGGTAGAGTAGAGTTTTATTCGATCACCGATACCCAGCGCATATGTATATTTCTATATATTGTGATCTGAGTTCGCCACTTCTAGACGTGCTTACCGGACGGTTCTTTACCGTGCTTCGAATGTAAGACAATGCTTATGTATATATGTAAATAGATTCTTCAAACAACAGGCGAGGAAACATTAGTGTTGTGTTATTTAAAACATATCAATAAACAGATTAATTGAATAACAATACCACTCTATATTTCGCGCCAAAATTCGGTTTGGCGTTACCTGTACCTTGCATCTTCCAAATATATATTGCATTCCAAATCAAATGATATGTCATTATACTTATGCACTGCTGTCAAAAACATAAAAGCGATAAAGAAACAAAGTGTTTATGATACATATATAACTATTGATTAGTACCTCGATCTCCTTGAGTTCGCTTGACCGTTTTTGACCGTCGAAAAAGCCTTTCTTTTTACTTTCTTCGCATACTGATATAAATATTGTCAGTCACTCGACGGTTTGAAACAGCAAATCACTTGCTATGAAAATGACAGAAGGTTGGCATGTAAGAGGCTCAAGTTTCAAGTCCTGTTATTCTTATTGACATATACCGATCGGATTTTCCTACGAAAATATCTGAATTGTGCAACCAGTAATACCAAGAGCTACAGGGGCTTTTTACGTGAGCCAATTTGAATTGTTTTATTCACGTAGTCTTTCGCCAATCACAAAAGAATGTTCGCACCTAACCACAAGTGGCTATCATCTTCTCACGCGTGTCTGCGTCTGAAAGGCAGCCAAGTCAACAAGCCAGCTCGTCTCGTATAAAATACCCTTTTAATACGAAATGCTCTCGAAGTTCAGTCGATAAAAACAATCGGAATAACCAGACTAACCGCCCTTTGATGTAATGTTGAAAGCGATCATATTATAATTATAGCCTTGCACTTCCTGAACAAAACGAATTATGAAGTGTCTGACCACGTGACGATCAAGTGACTCATTTTTCATGCATATTCAACTTTATTGCTAGTTAAGCGGTCTAAACGTCTAATGCATTTTATGTAGCAGTCTTAGTGAGTAGAGCAGTAGTATGTGCTGCAATATTTTTGGCAACTTTTCATTGATGCGAAAATTGGATCGTGAAGATACATAAGCTTTGTTAAGAGTCAAGTTTTTAACATAAATTTATTAACTAGCCTTCTTTAATACCTTCATATATATAATCAAATATATATATAATAATAATGATAATAATTAACTGTATACAGTGGTACCTTCGACAGCGAATAAAATGCCGCAAAAACGCACATAAAACCCATAGTGTTCGTTTTCAATCCTTCCATATATACTGCCCCAAAACATGTATGAGTATGAAGAAAAAATCAGACTACACCGCGGCCGAGATCACTTGTCGACTACTTGCAAAATGGGAAGCAAATTTTACAGTTGAATACTAACTAATGAAATTGTTATTTCAACCATGGAAGCCATTGTACAATTTATTATTAGGGGATGTACGTATAATTTCCGAACTGACGTAAATTAAAAAAAGGCGCAGCTAAGTATAAATGTTGATCGTGGCCGAATGGGGTACTTGGAATTTTTTTCAAATCAGTTGCCTGAATTTAAATAAAATGTAAAATATTTTTGCGCTCGACAGCATTCCTTTACATTCAGCAAAGGTTGGCTTATAGAATCCAAATATTGTCGGGCACTAAAGCAATCTTTTTTATAAATGTTTTTTTTTAAACCGTGGATTTTTACTGAGGGGGGGAAATACTTAACTATAGGGGGGTCAACATGGGGGATGAGAGGATGTATATGTTAAGAGAGGCCCTCCTGAACTCTGTTGCTTTACTGACATTTGACCCGCTGTAGTTTAAAATCATGGCGTAGCACGTAGTCGCCGAGTGAGGAAAGAACTCCCGTGATTGACACAAGAGCTTAACACCAGATGTTCCAAAAAACGGAACAGGAATCCAAAGACCAACTGACAGAAATTATAATGGTACAGTTAAAGTAAAAAGCCAAGCGAAGAGTTTAAACGCAGCTGCACAAACGAGCACACGGATCTTTTGTTGATTTAACATCATAATAAAACTTTAACATTTTTTGTCTGTCCGCCTTAAATTCGATCATTTATAGCTGTTCACTTCTGATGAATAACGCTGCGTTCAGACTGAGTTCCCGGCACTGATGAGTGGTGCCCGGCATTGACGCTTCTAAATAAAATTGAACATCACGCATTGACGCTTCTAAATAAAATTGGGCACGGTTCTCAAGAACGGGCACAACCTTCACAGGTGGCACTTAACAACGGCACTGTGCTCAGCATGTTTTATGAAGCAGTTTTGACTTTGGGCAGCAGTGCCGGGCACTCAGTCTGAACGCAGCCTAAATCAACCTGAATAATTAACATAAGACGCATGGTACCGATACAAAATTATTTTGAATATAATGCAACT